TCTGCCTTCACAGACGTCTGGAGAGTATCTAGCACATGGAAGGAGCTTCTACAAATGAATAAATGCATTCAGAATGCCAAATATTTGAAAAACATTTCCTCCTATATTTACCTGCCATGACGTAGATTGAGGGCTCAGTGTTTCTCTTCATTCATGGTTAGTCAGTGATGGCATTGCTTGCTCGCCTCTATAAAGCAGTGTAAAAACCCAGCTCTCAGCTCTGCTGTGGGGAGGTAGTCATTGGCATCATCTGCTTGAAATCCAGAGGCCAGCTTTTGACCTCAGGTCAGGTCAAAAAGCCAGTATAATTACAATTATAGCTGCATGGCTCATTGCTAGAAGTGCAGTCCTGTGTCTCTACAAGTAAGAAAATCCTGACGATGTGTGGTGGTATATTACAGCATGCAACAGGCAAGTGGTAGGAGGGACTGCATTACCCAGTGTGAGAAGAACCCATGTTTAGTAATATGTTCATGTGGAGAGGCTATGTTCAGAGCATGTGTGAGCTGAAACACAGAAGTAGTTTCTTTGTAAATTCAACACCTTTCCTCTGTATAGCAGAAGAGCATGTAAAAGTATGTAGAAGTTCTCACGACTGGCTGGAAAAGGTTTTCTGTTTGCCTGTAAGGGGATGATTCACCTTGACTCACCCTGAGCAGAAATGCCTCTGCTCAGCTGTGAGAGCTGCTGCTCGGTTCAAACACCGGTCTGCACTTTTCAGATTTCAAAACATAGTTTGGGAGTGTTTTGAAGCATATGTTGAGGGGAGCGTAAAGAGGATGGGGCCAGACTATTTTCTGTAGTGCCCAGCAATGTGCCAAGAGGCAATGGGCACAAGCTGAAAGACAGGCAGTTCTGTTGTTATGCTTAACCAGCCTGCCAGCCTCCTGTGATGGGTGAACGAGGGGAGAGCTGTGGATGTTGTCTAGCTGGACTTCAGCAAGGTTTTCAGCACTGTCTCAATAACATCCTCGTGGGAAAGCTCAAGAAGTGTGGGCTGGATGAGTGACCAGTGAGGTGCATTGAGAACTGGCTGAATGGCAGAGCACAGAGTTGTGATCAGGGGCACAGAGTGTGGTTGAAGACCTGTAGCTAGTGGTGCCTCCCAGAGGTCAATATTGGGTCCAGTCTTGTTCAGGATTTCTGTCAATGACCTGTAGGAAGGGGCAGAGTGCCCCCTCAGCAAGTTTGTTGTTGATGATACAAACCTGTACCTAGGGAGGAATAACCCCATGTACCAGTCCACGGCGGGGGTTGACCTACTGGAAAACAGCTTCACAGAGAAGGACCCAGGGGGCCGAGTGGACAAGATAACCATAAGCCTGCCATGTGACCCTGTGGCTGTGAAGGCCAAGGCTGTCCTGGGTTGATTTAAGAAGACTGTTGCCAGTAGGTCACAGAAGGAGATCCCCCGCCTCTACTCAGCCCTGGTGTAGCCACATCTGGAGTGCTGTGTCCTGTTCTGGGCTCCCCAGTATAAAGGGACATGGAGCTACTGGAGAGACTCCAGTTTAGGGCCATTAAGTTGATGAAGGGACTGGAGCATCTCTCCTATGAAGAAAGGAGAAGAGAAGAGTGAGAGGGAGTCTCGTCAATGTATACAAATAGGTGAAGGGAGGATGTCAAGAAGATAGGACCAGACTCTATTCAGTGGTGCTCAGCATCAGGATGAGAGGCAACAGGCACAAGCTGCAACACAGAAAATTCCATCTGAATATGAGGAAAAACTTCTTGACTGTGAAGGTGACAGAGCACTGGCACCAGTTGCCCAGAGAGGCTGCAGCATCTGCTTCTCTGGAGATATTCAAAACCTGCCTGGACATGATCCTGTGCAATGTGCTCTACATGGCCCTGCTTGAGCAGGGATGGGGGTTGGACTAGATGATCTGAGAAATCCCTTCCAATCTCAGCCTTCCTGTGATTCTGTGGTAATTCCTAAAAAGAAAGTGCCTCTGCTTGCTCTGCCTGTTTGTGACGCTTCCTGTTCCTTTCATCCTTCTTCATCTGCTCTCTCCATTTAACACGGTAGACTTTTATGATTGTCTAGGTCTGGTTCCTCATTACTTTCCCTGAAACAGTTGTTGATATTGCAAATGGCAGCTTGAACTGAGAAAAATAAGGTAACTTACTCGCAGCAGCTGTACTGCAGCAATAAGCTTGACAGCAATACCAGGAGCATGGTGATGTGCATATATATCCCTCGCTGCTCTAAAAGTAGCATCTTCTACTTTTAGAAGAGCTTTTCTAAAGTGGCTGCATAGCTGGTGGTTTTATACTTGCAGAAAATCTCTAAATAATTTAATGGTAATGTATATACTGCTTGTTAATTAGCAAAATCATCTGGATTTGAAAACAGACTGCCCTAGTAAGGTACTGCAGAGCACACACATCAGTTCATGATAACATTATTCAATAGCTCTTCTCTTCAAAGTTGGTTTATTATCCTCAAGAAGCTTTTCTCCAATTACCCTGACTGAAGCACCTGTAAATCTCTTCCTGATGGTGCATGTTCCCCCTGGCTCTCTAAACACCGTGCCCTCTCGTCTTTATGGTGCGAGCCTTTGATTTTACAAGCACTGCTTTGTAACACAAGCAGTATTGGTTTGTGTTGATATTGTTTCCTCTGGACATAGGCACTACGCTACAGCACTTCAGTGCTGTAGTAGATAATGAACCCGGTTTTGAAATGAGAGAGCTTTTTGTTCATCGTTGTCCTCACCTGTCCTCAGTACCCTCTCAAATCCCTGGGTAAATCCTTTGATGAAAGTTAAATCAATTAATAATGATAATGAAGGGTAAGTAATGCAAGACCTGGTCTTAGAACTCTAGATCTTGCTGTCTTGGCTATAGTTAGGATTAATGAAGCTCCTAATATCACTAAAAACAGAGACTTTCTTTTGCTCCTGTGTAAATGCATTTGCAGCTACAAATATTTGCAGTTGCAATGTTTCAGTCTCTTCAGGTTCATTGACATCTGTACCTTTAACCTTTTAAAAATGTTTTACATTGTTTTGGAAAAGCTGTGACATTATTTTTATTTTCTGGGGAACTTCACATTCTCTTCTGTTGTATATGAATGGAGTTATGTTGGTGTGGAATACTCTTTCTCTATATATTTAGAATCAGTAGATAATGAGGTGAGCAGGTAGGAAGAATGGGGGAAAATGTTGGCTGCCCCATGTGATCTCATCAACAGTTTCTTCATCTGTGAGATTACCTCTCCAAAGTACGTGCCTGGAGTAACTGAGCTAACATCCCACTCTTGTAAACGATATTTTTTTATTCTGTCAGTGTTGTGCTCCATTTAAGGAACACTTTACTAAAGCCAGAATGTTTCATGCTGAGTATTTCCCTCCTTGAATGGCAGTATAGGACATTAACAGACAGCTGAATCGATTGCAGACACCTGGAAAAAAAAATGACTCTGACTAAAGAGATGCTAGTAACCAACTTGGGATTACTAGCAGACAGTGAATGATCTTATTGACCTGGCCGCTAATGCCACCTCTGATGGTTTCTGCTGCATGGCGCCGTGGCTGGTAAGCAAATGCGAAATCTCAGCCTTTAGTTGTCTGTTGACAAGGGAATTGTCTACAAGTAAAAGTGCTTGTCAAGAAACGTGTCATTCTTATTAGAAAGAATTTAAATTTGTAAAAAAAAAAAGGGGGGGGAGGCAATAAAAAGGAAAATGTAAGATCTTAGATGATAGGTTTTAAAAGTTAATCATTATCACAAATTCTTGGCAGACATTGGCAAATATCTGTGTAACAGACATTTACAACGTATGAATCACATTTTTCAAAAATCACAGCTAATATCAACTTCTCTGAGGAGATGACAGCATTTGTAGGAGACATTAATAGCTTCTGGCTCTCAGGCATTGCAAAATGATGAGCTTGTAATTGTTCTGATCTGGCTATTCGTATAGAGTCCTAAAGGTCTCTCAATACATCCAGTATTAATAACATGACAGTGACAGCACTCACCGTCACTGCTACCTGCAATAATAACTTTAAGAACTTCATAAATGCAAGGCTTTTGAAACTGGCTCTGTTATTCTGATTTTACTAGGGAGGAGAAGGAGACACTGAGGGGCCCGTGAATCTGCAGATTGTGTCAGATGCATCTGAGGGTGCAGCTGCTCATCACTTTGGCAAGTGATGCTACAAGTCACTGCCAGCGCCATTCTGGAAATGTGTGGCTGGCTCAGGAGTAAGAATTACACTAGTCTCATCCTGTAACAACTGTGTAGTAACATTTTGTTCATGCTCCTTGCTGGAGACTTGGACAAGATCTGTTACAGAGTCATCCCTAAATCTTGGTGCAAAAACAGCACTGCTGGTTCTAACTCTCCTTCTGCTTGGACTAAAGTAAGATGAGATGGATCTAAAGTTCAGAGAGATCCCAAGAAGGCCAGAAGCTCCCAGTCAGAAGGAGCTTGGTGGTCCTTCTCTTTGAGACTGATCTGATGTATGGGAGGGCCCAGAATCTAAACAGGGTCAAAGCTTCAGTTTGCCATCCCTCCCCACACTTTGTGGTATTTATTCTTATATAAATACTTATCCCTGGTATTTATTCTCTTGCATGTCTCACTATGCTTCTTGTCCGGATTCAATTCTGGTTGTATTTTGCTTTTTCTATGCATTAGCTCCCCTGAATATTACCTGGGGATCGCCTTAGGTCTGGTTTTCAAGAACAGGCAAGATAGCTAATGTGTTCCTTCCCCACAGTGGTGGCATTTCAATGACAGGTCAGATAGTACTTGTTTTATTTTAGCCCGGGGTTCAAGCTGCAGTGTTAAATTGTGAAACACTGGGAATCTTTTGGAGGGAAGGTCCTCCCTAAATTTAATCTTTACATCATTAAGATAATGGTTTCTGGTGGTGATGGGGAAGTAAGTTTGAAATGATATATTATTGTGCAATTTATAGTCTCCCGCAGGTGCTTCCTCTGAGTTTTGTTCCCTCACTGGTAAGTGCTTCCTTCTTCTCTCTCTGCAGGTCTCCAGGTGGTTTTAAATTCAATTATCAAGGCCATGGTCCCCTTGTTGCATATTGCCCTGCTGGTGCTGTTTGTCATCATTATCTATGCCATCATTGGACTGGAGTTATTCATGGGGAAGATGCATAAGACCTGCTACCATGTACAAGGGGGATTAATAGGTAAGAGACATGATCTATGATATGGAGCCCATTTCCTGGGTTTTCTGTCTTTTATGTAAAGATCTTTGCCAGTGCAAAGTATCAGGTGCTCCTGCTCTGGCAGGGGAATTTTTACACAGCCATATGACAGTCTGTGAGTGCTAGTGCAAATAAGAACACCGAGTGTGAAGCAGACGTGTTAGGATCCTGAAGTGCTGGGAGCAGCAGCAATTCAGTGCTGCTGATCTACCTGCTGCATTGAAACAAAAACTCCAGGGTGAATGTAAACATCCTTTTGCACTTTCATTTTAAGGCCAGCTCCTTCACTGATCTCTGTTTACTGGTTAAATACTTGGTTCAGTTTTGTTAATCTCATTTCTTCTGCAAGACTTTGTCCCTCTGAGTGAAAGGACAACCATCTGAAGAGGTTTCCATGCAGTGGGCATGTGAGCAGAAGCTGTGTTGGCACTGGGCAGAAGCTGCGTTGTTTGGAGAGTGCGTGGTCACCTAGTCATGCTCAGGTGTGGTTAGCCATGCGCTGCACAAGCAACAGCAGGTACAGGAGACAAACCAAAGACAACTGAAGCCACCTAAGGCTAGATTTTAGAGAAGTTGCCAAGCAGCAAGTTCATAGGTGCCTTCAGACCAAGAGCACAGGCGGAAAGAGGTGATAAATGATGATTTTCTGAGGGAAGCTTTCCCCATATAATGAAGCATTTGTACCGGCTGCAGAAATGGGTGGCCTTTGCTCCCTCCTGTGTGTGTGTTTGGGCATTCAGAAGAGTGGTAGTTCCTCTCTTCTGCCCCTTGGATTTGAACCAGCTTTGATGTAGAGAGGCTGCCTCAAGAGCAAGAGTTTAGTTTTCTGTTCTTAGGCACTTCAGGTGCTGAACTCTAAAGGCTACAGGCAAAACTGTCACTTTTTTTTTGTAGACTTTTTGTGGTTCTTTCACACTAAAAGCCAAGCTGAGCTTTTTATTGAATCTCCCAGAGGCTCGAGCAACACTAAAGTAGTGATGATTTCACCACTAGCAGACCAAGCTGGAAATGAGCTGGCATTGTGGAATTTAATGACTCTAATATTTTATTATTAGTCCCATTCCTAAGTGTATCTTCTTTTTAAATCTGTATGAGAGTAAAGGAATATCTAATTGAGGACCAGTACCCTTTTTGTTTTCAATCACAGGCTATGACTGTGGTTAGAGAAGTGCAGCTAATGACAAAGTAAGGATATGTTCATGGGAAGAATTGCATCAAATCCATCAGGAAAGAACTTTTGAATAACCTCTTCAATTGTATTTTTGGTCTTGCATATTACTGTCTGCTCTTTATTATTTGTTTTACCCAATTTGAGCAGCAGTGATACCCTCTGTGCTTGTGGGTGCCAGTAACTAGGACCCAGTTCTGCTCATAACCAAGAAAACAGCATTTGGGGGGAAGTTATTTCAGAAGTCCTTTATTTTCTGCAGTTATAATGTTTGCAAATATCATTTTCTGGAGGTGGTGCTAGGGCCGTAATGACTCCTCAGTTGTTTTCACATCATTGAAGTATATATATTTTCCTCTGTGCTGTTATTATTACACAATTATTACACACTTATTACACAATTACTACACATTACAGCATCTAATTCTAATATTACTATTTCTGGCATGCCTCGGTGTAAATTTGATCAGAATACTGCATCTGTTATAAATGTATCACAAGGCTCTTATTAAAAACACTCCCACTGGGGAATGTTTTGTGCTTATAAAAATGCTTTATGTAGCATTTTTCACATACCAAAGTATTTAAGCAGGTTTGCTGTGTGGATTCCCGGACCTCTGGAAACACCTGTACGGAGTAAAGGGTGGATAATCAAGCATTAAAGTCTTACAGAGCTCCTGAGTACCGCATGGCTGCTAATAAAATGCCACACAGCTTCTACCAGCGAGCAGAGCTCCAGAGGCTCTGCTGCAGTTGAGCAGTAGCCCAGCATCGTATCATCCTATCTCCAGAGCACCTAAGCCCATCAACTGCAGGGGCTCCGCTTCCTACAGCAGCAGATCCTACAATACTGCAGTTACCCCCATGACTAACCCAGCCCAGTATGAAAATATGGCTTAGAAATGTGTGGCCTGAGGAAGCATGATAAACCTGACCTGGTGTTCCCTCTAATGTTGAAGGGCATTTTTCTTCCTATTAGAAGAATATGCGTTAAAAGTTGTGTGTTTTGTTTTCAATTGTGAAGTTTGGCAGCTTGGCCATTTTTTTTTTGCAAGAAGAAATTGAAATTGAAGCAAAATAAAACATCCCTCTGCCAGTAGTTGAAATTGATGCTGTTTCTTGTGTGTCTTCAGAAGGGTCTGTCAAATTCGCTGCAAAATGTATTTGTCAAAAACTAATATTCTTCACTTGTTCATCAGTGTGTCTAACAGCAGTTAAATTTCTTCCTGTCCTTTTTCCCCCGCCTCTCCTTCAAGATACGCCTGCAGAAGACGATCCCTCTCCGTGTGCTCCCCAGTCTGCGCACGGGCGGCAGTGCCAGAACGGCACGGAGTGCAAGGCAGGCTGGGAGGGACCTAAGCACGGCATTACCAACTTTGACAACTTTGCTTTTGCCATGCTGACGGTGTTTCAGTGCATCACCATGGAGGGCTGGACAGACGTGCTGTACTGGGTACGTATCCGAAAATGATAAGTTGAAATAGCGGCTTTGTGCACTGCAGCATTAAGCCTCTGGTGCTTCAGCTCCATCTTTGTTTTTCTTGGTTGTTCTGTATGGTCAAGGCATGGCTGCTAGCATGAAGCTTTGATTAACTCAATATTAGCAGGTGATATGGGAGATTTTAACTGGCATGGTTAAATCAAGTGTAAATGTTGACTCACCATTAAAATTAATATTCAGAAGGATTGCACATGGCTTGAAGACTTGCAGTGTACCTTTGTTGACCAAAATGTCACGTAAGGACATTTGAAGGGATTAACTATCTCATCCGATTCCAGATAACTAACGTAAAAGTATTTGTAAAATAGATAATTGGGTCCTTTACCTGTGGCATTAAGGTTACAAAGGCACTACACTGATCTACTCATAGGTTTTAAAAGGCCTCACAAACCCCTCTTCATATCAGCATTACTCCTCATTCTGAATTTTACCCTAATACTAATTCTTGCTCCATTCCTAGTTCTGATACTGATCTAAATTGTGGTTTATATGGTTATTCCAAACATGACCTTATCTTCATCTAAATGCAAAATTTAAAATGAACTCATCTTTTACCTTCATTCTGGAAGTTTCAGTATCTTTAGTTTCCCTGCTGTAATTACTACTGTGCTAGGAAGTTCAGTAAGAATACAGTTACATTGTAGCAGTTAAAATCAGATACAGCTTAAACTGTAAATCAGACAGAACATTTTCTGGATTTAGCTGTTGCTGTCAACTTTTGCAACATTATGTTATGGTCCAGGAATTTAATTCAAATACAGCTCTGTCCTGTCTGCATAGGGCTGACCTGAAGTATGACTACATTTGAAGATTGGCATGTTATGACACCTGGTTTTCCAAGATGGTAGGAATTTCAGTGTAAATAGGACTTGTGCTACAGTGCATGATGGAAGTTGACCCAACATGACCTAAAGCACATAGAGTAGTCTGAACCAAAGCAGGCTTGCTCTGTTAATCAGCATCAACCCAAGCCTGAAGCTGCATTCTGCCCACCAATGGGTTAGAATATACAATATTTTCCTTTCAATATTTAGCCTATCAGTAATAGATACTCTGCATGGAAGAGCTAAGAGTTGTCTTTTTATCCTTTTACATTTAGATTTAAATTGTTCCTCTAACTTTCTTCTAACCCTTGAGATGAAGGGCAGAGATCATACCATGAGGAAAATCTGAGTCTCGGGACTCACAAGTTGGCTTTATTTGAAAAGATGGTGTAAACGTATAAAATAATGAAGAAAAGTATAAGTTAAGTTGGAAAAGGACTTGGCTATATATAACTTTTTATCACATTTGCCTTAAATTCCTCCAGTCCCTTAGTGCCATCTTCGTGTGATTGAGAGGACTTATGGATTTGGGGCAAATAGACCAAGTATAAATTATATCAGGAATAAACATGAAGACACCTTTTGCACTGTATACCTTTTATTTTTTTTCACCTAAAACCTTATCTGCAAGTTCTCAGAATTTCCCCTTTTTACAAAAGACCCAGTGAATCCTCATACTTTTTGGTTCAAATATCACTTGCATGACTGGATGTGAATCGTTTAGAACTCAACTATCAGTTGTCTAACAACAGAAGCCAAAAAGCATATATTCCCTGCTAAATGATTTTCTACCATGACTGCTGCAGATAGCCTCATTTTTATGACATCCCTACACCAGCCTGAATTTTAGCAGTTGGCTTTTGTTTGGTATTCAGACAGGTTTTTCACTAATTTCCTTGGCTTTTTTTTTTTTTTTGAAAAGATCATGTGGTGACCTGACATTAATACAGATTGATGGTCATTATTTTCAGAGACATTTTAGTTTTATCCCTTTACTTGAAAGCTTGCTTCTTGATGCAAAAGTAATATTTTACTTTTATAAGTAAAATAATATGTTATCATCAGTTCCCAGTTATTTCTAGATGAAACTATAAAAGCTAGAGTTAGCAGTGCAGATACAGTTTCAGTAATGGAGGAGATAGATAGATAGAAACTTATTTTATAGAGAAAAAGCATACCATCTATGTTTAAAGGCCTCAAAATACAAAGTTTGACTCACATTGCAAGCAGCTGAACACCTGATATGATAGGCACACAAAATTAAGTTATCCTGAACAATCCTAAAAGTGCAATTGTCTCCATGGGACTTTTTGCCTCTTCATGTTATATTGGCAAGGTGTCTAGAAGTCAGCACTGAGCTTGAAACTTGCCATACAGTCAGTATCTGAGATGCTCTGAGTATTTCCTTCTGCCAAGAGGTCTGTGGTACTCTTGCGGCAAATGTTGCCTGGGCAGTTATTACAGTGAAAGCATCAGGGAAGCATCATGTCTATAAGACTGATATGTAGAAGCCACCTCTAAACATTCATACTGCAGTTTCATCCATAGATTTTTCGGACTGTATCTGTAGTGATTCATACAGTTTTATAAGTCCATGCAAGGGGCATTCTAGATTAAGTTGGCCAAATCCAACAGGAAGAGTACTTCTGAGCTGTGAGTAATTGATGCAGTATTTCAACAGCCAAGAGTGAGGGAAGAATTTTGGTAAGTGGAGTAGGGTATAAACAGGTTTTTAAAATGTGTGCATGGACCACTGTTTCTTTAATGACGCTGTTCCGTTTTTCAGCCCACAAAGAGTTGACTAGTAGTAGGCAAATCATTGTGGCTTGTCATTCCACAAGAGAGTAGAGAGAGAGGAAGACAGTCTCTTCTCAAGCAGATAGCACTCTAAAGGATCTGTATCTGCAGTGAGGGTATGCAAATTAAATTTTGCTGTATTAGTAAATGTATTTTCGTAGTTAAACTAAAAATTCAGACTTAAAGATCCCCTTTCTCCAACTTTATCCTCAGATTGAGAATTGATTTTACATTTTAGTCTGAAGACTGGAAAGGCTTAAGGAAGAGTCGTCTGCAAATCAGTTTTGTGGATGAAAATTTTAGGTCATGATTTTCTAAAATAATTCCTTTCACTTAACAATATAAGATAATGGATTGATTATTAAGAATGCTGAGCTTTCAAAGTTAATTCTTAGCTCATTGGAAAACCAGGGTAGATACCAAATTTTGAATCTGGTACTGCTGAGGTCAATGACAAATTCCTAATATTGTCAAAATGCCAGGATCTCCCCTTCTACCTTGTAAAATCTCATAGTGTCTGGATGTACCACATGCAGTCAGATGCACCACACATGGACTTTAATTGCCTATTTAAGGCCTTGGTGTTTGTTGTGGTAACCTTCAAAGGACCTACCTGTGGAGAGAAGGAGCTTTCTTTGCTCTCTCCTTAAATCTGAAAATAAGAGTCTGACCTAAAACTTAGCAGAACAACAGGTAAGGCTCTGGGTTAAATCACTTGCCTTGAAATGTTCAGCCAATGCAGCAGTTACCTTGATTTGTACTTTTTGTAGGCGCTTTTCAATTATGCCTTCCTATTTCCTAAAAAGAATAGTTTCTGAGAGATAACCTAATCTCTGAGTTTCTCTCAGTAGGAAGAGCTTAGCACATTTCAGTATGATGCCCTAAAACATAAGCCAGTAATTTCATAAAACCTATGTCTATCTTTTGTCACACTTTGCAAGCAAAGTTGTGAACTGCATGTTCATAAGTTAGAAGATTATATGACCTTCCACAGGGTCCCATTCCTGGACTGCTAGTCCATTTAAGTATCTTTTCAGATTTTGCCCTTAGGTTCCAAATTCCTCCTTCATGCTTATACCTTCTTCAGCTTTTCATCTCTTAAGTGAAGTTTGTCTCCTCTATCATGGAGTGTTATTTCCCAGCCTGTGATCTACATGCTCACAAAAAAATAACAAGAGACAGGAAAGCAATAAACTTTTATTCTTTAGAAGAACTTGATATTGAGAAGATCAATACGCTTTCTAGGTTTCTCCCTCACTCAGCAGATAAGATTTGTGAGTAGATTAGCTTCTTTCAAAACATGAAAGAAAAGTTCTGGGAAAAAAGAAAAAAAAACAGTTTGACACAGCTATAGCGACAAGTAAGATATTTGCTTACAATGAACCAAATTTCTTATATAAAATAACTACATTGGACAGGATGAAAATCAGTGTAAAACAACCTTGTTGACTCTTTGCTGAAGGGAATGTTTAGTGTTTATAGGAGCACATCTCCTAAACTGCCTCATTTTTGAAAGGTTTACTTTGTCCTACTAAAATTTCCAGGTGTCTCTGTCTCAAGTGCAGGCAGATCATACAATCACTGGAGTTGACAGGTACCTCTACTGATCGTAATATTTCCTGTGCACAGTAGCAGAATTGAGCTTATTATTCCCAAGCTTCTTAATACATGAGGGACTAACATGAGAAGCTTGTTCCCTTGTGCAGACACTTAGGCCCATTTCAGAAATGAGCCCTCAGTCATGGGAACTTTTAACAGCAGATGCAGACAAATGTTACAAATTGAGTCATTTTGCATTTTGTAATCAATTTCCATTACAGTCCATTATTTCTTATTGTATTTTTGACTAATGAGGAAAATTAATCCCTATGCAGTTTGTAACATCCTGTTTAAGTATTTGTAGGCATTTAGTGTCTCCCTTTAATCTTTTTCCAATCTGAGCACATCCATTTCTTTTAACCTTCCCTAATGGGACTTCTTTTTAATTATTTTTAATCAGATTGTTGCTGTCCTTTAGGGGAAGTATTACTTATGAGTTAAATACGATCCGGACAGTGCCCTGTCTCTAGAATGGACTTTGATCTTTGTGTGCAGGCATCTGCTGTCTGCTGCTGAAGCCCTGGGACACAGCATGCAAAACTACCCACTACAGCCTCTGTTATAAGGGCCCAGTTTCTCCACCTTCCTGCATCTAAGAGATCATATAAATAAATGCAGACACAGCAGGGAGAAAATTCGAAATGCAGTCAGGTGTCATTGCGTTTATACTGCTGAGTAACAGAGAACCTGGCCTTGAGGTGCTCTGCATACAGCTAGACCATTGCAGCTTGA